TTGTCTGCTTTCTTCTTTTTTATTATCCTAAGAAGAGTTCAAATAAATATTTGTAAGTCCGACTAGTTAATATCTAAATACTTAGGTATTATCTAGCTGGTCCTAAGTCCAGATAAAGGAGGAGGGTTCGAGGGAATTGGTTAGCAATCTACCCTCGGTAAAAATAAAAAATAACAGCTCCCAGAGCTAACTTTACAGTCTCTCTTTAGCTGTGCTTATTATTTTATTATTTTACAGTTGGTACGTGAAGTCAAGGGAATAGAGAGAATTACAAATTTGTAATATCGACTATCGAAATATCAGGTATCGAGAATATGTCGTTCGATCTGTAGCCTTCGTTTGCCTTTGTCGCACCTCGGAGATTACATTATTTGTAGGAAAATCTCGTTAATGTAATCCTTGTGTATGTTCGTTTCGTCTCTACGCTACATGGGGAGTCGATCGTTCGCGTTAACGACCCTGGTTAGAGATTACGGTTACCGTATTATCGCGTCGTTCTAATAAATTATTTGCGATAACGTTGTTTAACACTCGAGAAAGTACCCTTTTCTTGCGTCGTTGGCCTTTGTAAATGCAAAACTACCGAAATCGTCGCGTCGCGTCGCGTTTAATGTTTCTCATTTCAGATTTGTATAATTAAAAATGTCGCGTATTAAGTTAGTTTCATTGTCATGCAAGTAAAACACCAGATTCTATTTCTTTTTTAAACAAACTTCATTCTTTACTTCGTACATAGTTAAACAAAAAGTATGTTTCCTTTTTACATGAACAAAGTTTCTCTCTTTCCTTCTTTTTCTTTCTTTCATAAGTGTAACCAGATATGAACTTTGACAATCGGTTGCCAGGATTGGGACGACGGGGTACGATAAAAAGAGGCTTCGACATTTGCATCGAAAGTATCAACTTCGATTGTTAGATTCTAGGTTAAAAAGCGAATAATTTATGGCACGTTCGATTTATCGCTTATAGATACGACGTTCTTCTTCTGAATAAATTAAAAGGTGCTTTCGTATGCGATAGATAGATACCCCATCCACCACCTTGGCGGCTTGATAAAAAAGAAAATGCCGAGTTAGCTTCTTTCCCGTAAATTCTTCCGCTATTTTGTCGTCCGATCAATTTTTATTTGAAGACTTGAAAGAACGTGGTTATTGTTCTATCATCGATTATCGAACGTGAAATTACTATGGCGAAGTAGCGTTAAAAAGAAAAGAGCAAAAAGAAAAAAAAAAGAAAAAGAGAGAGAGAGAGAGAGAGAAAGGAAGAACAAATTAGGTGAGAAAGAAAAAGAAAGCTTTCAGTGTGCGAAGAGAATATTACTTGAAATATTCTATATTACGGAATCGGTAATAACCACAAAAGAGGAGTCACTTGGAATAATTTTCTTCCCGATTTTAATGGAAACTCTTGGTGGTATCTCGTTGGTAAAGAGAAAGATAAGAGTTCTTTTTTTATTAATTGTTTCGCGTTTCTTACATTTATGAGATTTTACGAGCTTCGGCGTTTTAACTTCTTGACTTTATTTTTTTCTTTCTTTTTTTTTTTCTTTTTCTTTTTCTTTCATTTTGTTTTTATCGACATCGATAAAATTCTTCCGTATGAATCACATTTGAACGAAATTAAGACAAATCTAATATTCCCCTGTTCCCTCTTTATCGTTTCTTTTTCTTTCTTTCTTTTTTGGGACATCCAAATTATCGACGATCAACGTATGCATTTATATTTCTATCGAAGTAATTCAATTACTTGCTTATTTTATTATTAATTTTATTATTCATATCTCTTTGTTTAATGTTCAAATATTACGTTAACAACGAAGAACCAATTTGTTGTTAGAAATAATCGTTTTAATTAGTTTGAATTGTTTTGCATTTGATAATTGCATCGATTAAGGTGAAATAACTTTAGAGAGAATGGATCACAATTACGTTGAGAGAGAGAGAGAGAAAGAGGAACAAGAAGAAAGTCGTCTTATTAACGCGGTCGAAATACCACGTGGCTGAGGTTGACAATGAGTAACCGTATCTTTTTAGTGCTTCTTCTAAGCATATTAAAATTCTTCGTACCACTACTCTCGTAGTTATAAATCCTCAATGCTGTTACCTCGATGGAGGGTTCATTTCCGCTCACGGCATGCCGCCGAGAACTTTATTAAGCATGGATTTTACGAGCGGATAGTCAAGCTCGCGTGCCGCTTATATATGACAAAATTGCCACTACGACGCCGGCATTATAATAAGCCACCCCCTGACTTGTTGGAAACTTTCAAGAAAAAGAAAAGAACAGAAAAATCTCTCTCTTTTTTTATTTTTTTGTTTTATTTTCTTCCAGTTATTTTCTACGCTTGGTGGCGTGTAGAACTCAACGTCGTTGGAATTTTCACATTTTTTCGAATAATAATTCTGATTATTCTTTAAAAAGTACGAATATACATAATTTCTTTTTTTTTTTTGTTCGTTTCTTTAAAGAATTCTTTAGCATATTTATTGGAAAGACGTCAGGACGAATAAGTGAAAAATGCCATGAAGAAACTTTGAAAATATTCATGAAGTTTTATGAGGAAATGCGTTTTTTCGCAAGACACACAGAGAAAAGATACCGAAGAAGGCAGGAAAGAAAGACACGACATCACGCGTGACAGAATTATAATGCTCCCTTAAAACTTTTACAAACGGCTTTTCTTCTATCTTTGCCTTTAGGTTATTTCAGAAAATACAATGTTTGCGATATCTTTGCTTTTTCTTAAACTCTAACTCTCGTTTCAGTTTTTGAAGTTAACTTGATTTTGTTACATTTATTCATTCAATATCGATAATAAGAAATGAAATACAAACAACTTGTTCTCATTCGATCAACGATATTCATAGTCCGTCATGATGAGGATTGAATTAGGTGAAAATGAAAAGATAGTTCTCGTGATAATTTAATGTAGATAAAGCTTTCGATGTTTACTCGAGCATATGACTTGCACGAGTTCATTTATTTGCATCAAAGTAGTCATCGCCAAGGGAACCGATAATTTAATGAAGCCGAACGTTTATTAGAAACTTTGACATATCTGACCTTTGTTAAAAGTTAATTAGTTGCTCGTGGTTTTTGGTTGAGACACAATAACGACATTGTACATAATGGAAAAGTTTCCTTTATTACATTTTCATTTTGGTATTTTGTCATAGGTATCGTCGTAATAATTAATGTTAAAGGAGAAATTTCGGTTTTCGTTCAGCTTTGTTGTTGTTGTTGTTGTGTCAACAATAGATATGTACGCTCTAGTGCTTAGTGTCAGTTTGACGTGAACTATCGAGGAAGAAAGATGTATGTACTGTTTGAACTTCTGTTTTGTTGACTCGTATAGTATTCGTTTACTTTTTCATTTTAAATGCATAGATACCTTGTGATATTTCTAGCATACTCTCCATTTTATAAGTACTTGCGAGAAAAGAAATAAATTATTTCTATGAATTAATTGTGATTATAATATCGAATATTTTTTGTATGCTTTGGTAAAGTTAAAACGTCTATTAGACACTGTTAAACGATCTGTTTATGATGAAAATTGTTTGACAATGTGTTATGTACTGACCAATTGCATTTGCTTACGCACGATTGAAACAATGGTAGATACATAGCTAAAGGATATCAATGCAAACATTTAGCAAATAGAACATTTCCTGTCTCGTACACACACACCGAAGGGTGTAAATCCCGACCATACAAATTACACATGGTGTAGTATAGTATGAATAATGCTGATAATGGCAGCACTTTATCCCTTAAACTTCATAACTCAGACGATTCTCATAATAAATAAATCAGCAAGCAGTATTTTGGTAAACTTACTCAATTTTAATTTAATTATTATTTATTATTTGAGAAAATAAAATGATCTAAGGTTTATTATGATTATTTATTTTCACGAAGAAGTTTTTATAGCTTTAATCTGTGTAAAATAAAGTTTAGTTAAAGATATTGTTTTCGTTTAGTTTGCAAGTATTTTTCCGAGATTTTAATTTATTAGAAATAGTTTTTCTTAGAGGTTCAGTTTTGAGGGTATAATATAAATTTAGCTTGAGAGAAGGGTATTATTCACTGGAAGCATGTCAAACTCATTTACCATAAATTTTCAACCAAGAAGAAATTCATAATAGAGAGGAAAGTAATGTTATTATTATTTAATATTGCAATAAAATGTTAAAATATAACGAAGACATATAAAAATAAACAATTTGGATTAAATTATAAAAATACACGCGAGATAGGAAAGATTATATTGATTATTAAATTTATTGTGCCACAAGCAATTGTATTGGCAAGAACGAGTTTTTGTTATACCTGAAATACATCATGAACAAATTTAATTCTCATTATTAAATACGAGAAATGTGTATTGAACTTAATAAATGCTTTTATAAATACGTCAGAGAGGATTGCCTTTCATTCACGAAAATCATATTTATTTCACAAGGATTTAATTACAATTAATTTATTTAATTCTAACTTAACATTAGATCCAGCACAATCAATTAAGGTTATAAAATAAAATAAAATAAAATAAAAAGAAAATTTGTGATCAACGCTTTAGCAATTATCAAAATCTCTAGCTCGTAATTCATGAAGCGTTCTTCTATCAGCGTAGGTCTGGTTGGTTCAAAAATAATTGTAGTTTTTATAATCTTATATTCGACGGTGCTTTTCCAACTACCTATTATCCAGTTATGCTCATATTATATACCACTGTAAATGGTAAAATCCTCTCTCTAACAAATACGATTTATGCTGTTATTTTCATTGTTTAATACTATAGAATTTACGATCCTAAATTAGTCATCTAAAAAATGAAATCTTTGCAAATTGAAATTGATAAAACAAGTAGCAAATATTAATCAGAATTTAAACCGTGCATTTGATCAATAAATATCATTATCCCATGTATAATTTATACGTATATAATTTTGGAAAATAATAATTTAAAAAGATAATTAATGAAAGATTAAACTTACCGATTCTGATGACAGGTGGTAACGACATGGCAGTGGTGACTAGGATGACGATTACTGCGAACAACAGTGCCATCATGTCCGAACGTAAGCTCGCATTCGCAGCTGCACGGTTACAGCATCGTTCTTGCTCGACACACGTTCGTAGAATATGAGAGTAAAAAGAAAAAAAAAAAATTCAACAGATCATACGAACGTATGCACGCGATACAACACGGTCTATGTTAACACTTTCACAGTAAATTACACGTAGCTAACGAAGATCCATCGAATTACGCTTATATTCTTCCGGACCTCGTGGTCTTCCATCTTGCATCAAGTCTGCAATCAAAAAATACAAATAATTTTCTATCTTTATCCGAACTCTTCTTTTCTAAATGTTCGAAATAAAATCATCTAAATAATTGCACCTAATTTTGATTTGACATAGATATGAATACTAAGTTTTTAATAATATTTTGAAATATCGATAACACGTGTTGCATCAAATAAAAAATATAATTGTTTAAGTTGAAAATTGATGGTATAAAAGTCCAAATAAATTATTTTTATGTTCGATATATTATTTACGACGTACGTTAGTTGCAATTTTCTGTTTTCGTTAGTTTTCAAAATAAATTTACGTACAAGCGACGTACGATTAGTTTACGAAATTACACCGTGTGATCGATTCTTTTTTCAAGCTAGAACGAATTCAATTCGTCGTCAGTCTACTTGTATCTTTCGTAGGATACGCGTCTACGTAATTTAATCGAAAACGTGCCGTAGTTACGTTAGGTCTTATTAAAGAAACATCAATGAAATAAATTCGTATTTTTCTTTTTCCCTTCTTTTTTTTTTTTGTTTTCTTTCATTAAATTCAATATATTTGTATGAGCAATTATATCGATCAATTAAATTAAAAGCAATTTGTTGATAAATCCTGGCAAACATATAGTCAGTTTCTAAATGACAAATTTGTTGTTTGATCATCGTGAAAAAGATAAAATTAATGAAGGAATCTTTTAGTGAATTTGTTTCGATAAGGGCAAATATACGTTGCATCGTCGTATTTAAGTTAAAGTTTCGAAAGAGTAGGGGACAGACGAGCAAAGTACGTAATCTCGTTACAGAGACGGTATGATGGTAGAGTATCTAATCGAGAGACCTACTTTTTGTAGACAGGGAAACGTACAGCAGCACGCAAAGTGCAATTGAACTTATCGATTTCTTCCTTTGAGCAGATACTATATCATATATATATATATATAAATGAAATGAACAAATTTATTTATCAAATACAATAATACAAATTTTCAAATTTATATTACTAAATATTTTAATGCATTTATATCGGTTAAGCAATATGTGTGAGATGGTAGGAATATTAAGCATGTATTCTATGTAAAAGAAGTACACTGTTATCCACCTGATAGGAGTAAGTATATATACTGCGATATCTCTAGGGTGAAATCACGCAAACTATCAAACTCATTCCCAAAGGCGCGTTTTCCGTTAAAGCAAAAAGAGAAAATTCAGTGTGCTTTCTGTACTACTACCTTTATCTAAGAGGAATGTCAAAGGATCGCTTTGTTATTTATAAAGGGAGTATCATTCGAAAAGCGTTTTCGACCTTCGAGACGATCCCGACTATAAGATAAGAACACTCCTTCTCCTTAACTTGATATCTTCTTCGTATAGTCAGAGAATCAGTATCTCTCGTGTGTTAGATATCGATGATATAAAAGAAACGTGAAGGAAAAGTAAGTAGGTACTATCATTTTCAAAGTAGAACATATCGATAAGAAAAAAAGAACATTGATAATAATATTAATATTAAATCTTTTATTAATAAATCGGATATAATGATATATTAAAAATAAATATTTCAATACTTTTATATAAATAAATATTATCTATATATATAATAATTATATTATTTATTATATTATAAATAATTTCCATATTTATTTCGTAAATATTTTATTTTATTTTTTTTTTTTAATTTTTTTAGATACCAATTAGAAGTATCAAAAAGCCGTGTGTCGCATCCTTAAAGCATCGAGCATCGAACATCGAGCATCGAATAGAAGCAGCAGCAGCAGAATCTAGTGTCGACGACATACGGCTCTACTGTTAGAGTTAACCCGTAGAGCGTAAATTGTAAAGGGATTCGTGTTAACCCAATTTAGCAAGAGGCAAGTTTGCCTCTCGCCAAGCTAGGTTTGTTTGCCCTTCCTCCACGCGTCGTGGCCTTAAACGCATGACCGCGCACGCGCTCAAAACCCTTTCGATCGAATACTGACCGTGTGATCCAAGTTGACAAGTTCGTTGGATTTGAACTTGTTCATTTAATTCTTCTTCAAGACATTTTTTTTTTTTACTCATTGTGTAGATAATATTGATTATTTGACATATATATATTATCTTTAATTATTATCGTCTCGTCGTTTGAAATATCGTGCCAGACAGGACAAACTAACGAAAACAAAAAGAACAATCTAGGGGGTTGGAGACAAAAAACAATCTTACGGTAAGATATATATATATATATAAGGAAGATATTAGTAAAACTGAGATAGTAGTTGGAACTGGATAGGAAACGGTAGCAATTCCGGATGTAAGATATTCAAAGAGAACTCACGAGTCTCTCGAGGCGGAACAGCTGCTAACGAAGCTTATCGTGCGCGGGAATAGAAACGGGGCCGAGGTGAGGCTTTTAAAGCTCCGAGTCCGTACCTTTCGAGAACGAGGGGTGCTTTTCGTCTCGGGGGATACAAGAGGAATTTCAGAAAGAGAAAGAGTGTGAGAGAGAAAGCAACAACTTCACTTTACTTTACCGACGATAAAAAGTGAACAGCGTTGTCCCTTTACCGGCTTTACGATCACAAGTGGAATTAACCGACTGCAACTGCCAACGTCTTAGATTGTAAATGAAAGTAGGCCGATTCTGATTGTCAGTGAAATAACGATTTAAACTTTTTCATCTTTCCAAAAATTCAATTGTCCAATTTATCTTTTATTACGAATTTAAGGATAGATCATCTCAAGCTGTTGTTAATCGTTTATTAAGTGTACGATATGTTTACATGCGTGTAACATGCAATGCGTACGAATACGTATCTGTACAAATATGTATTTACATATTTCATAAAATGATATATTTTTGGTCGGTAGAGGATAAATCGTCCAACACGCAAAAGGGAAATGTATAAAGCACGAAGGGTATGCTCGACAAAGTAAAGGAAAAGTTCATGTTGTTTCGCTCGTTTATCTAACGTGTAAGAAAAGAGAGGAATGTAATTTGAAAGTTAGAAAAATGTTCACCCTTATTCCGGAAGGTGTAAAACCGTATGTTATTTATCGCGTTTCTTTTTTTTATTTTTTCAAGTGTTATATTTTTTATTTTTCTCTTACTTTTTTGTCACTTTTCTTTACATTCATATTGTAACTGTTCTCAACGTAGTTATTTAACAGGTAGTAAAATGTTTTCTTTATTAAAATCTTTCTTTCCCCCTTTGTCCTTTGTTAAAATAGTAAAATGTCGTCCTCAAGTTCTTTTTAACGATCGTACTCGGCACCATGACTGAATATTTTTGAAAAAGGTTTTTTGCTTTTAAGGGGAAAAAGCAAAACTCGCCGAGACAGAGAATGTGTGTAACAGAGAGAGAGAGAGAGAGAAAAAGAAAGACCGTGTACTACCTTTAATGTTTTTTTTTTTTACTTTTACATATTTGTTTTCTTTTCCAATCATTTTTTACAAAAATATCATTCCGAACTTACCAAAGAAAATTGTCGCTTTTTCTCTTCTCGAAGTATATTTTATATTTGTTGATAAACGTAGAATGAAAAATTTTTCTTTACTTTTATTTCTTCGTTTTTTTTTTTAGTTTTTATTTTTTTTTTATTTATCACATTCAGCTACAATAAAAAGGAGGAATAATTTTTAACTGAATACGATCTCTGGTAATTCATTAAATGCAGCATTGGCAGCTTTCTTGTGAATAACAGTGAAGTATTTTAAATATAGTTCCTGTTGTTTTGTTTTGCAAATGAACAGAATCGAATTTACGATGAATAGGTGGGTGACTACGGTCGAATGTTATAGTACAGTACTCATCGCAGTGGTATATAATGGAGTGGATATAATGCACGACGAGAGAGAGAGAGAGAGAGAGAGAAAGAAAGAGAGAGCAGAAATAAAGAAATGTTTTAGCATAATTAGAAACAGTATTCTTCAGAAAAACAAAAAAGAAAAATTTCAAACTTCTTTCACAAAATATTTAACATTAGGTTTTATTGTAATTTCACGTAATTAACAGCCCATTTTGTTTTTTGTTCATTTAAAATCAGTTACTTCGCGTCGTGTTTCTAAATTAAAAGGGGTGCACCTTAGCAATAATTAAGATCTACAACATTAAAGGTAGAAAAATAACAACAACAAAAATATTGTAATATATATTTACGTTAGAATAAAAAATAGTTTTGTAAAAAACGTTTCACAAAAATCGAATACTCTCGTTATAGTTCGAAAGTAAATTCATATTCGCTTTAATTGTCTCGATAGGGTGGTAAACGTTTGAAATGTTGAATGTATATTTCGAATGAAAAATGTTTGCAATTGCAATTCTCATCATAGCGCGAAACGTGACTCGTCATCGAATAACTAATGATAGGAAAACGTTGTACCTTTTCCTTTTTTTTTTTTTCTTTTTCTTCTTCTTCTTCCCGGACCTTACCCAACGATTGTCGTCTCGTCTCGAATCTCGGTGAGATCGAGGAAGACAAAACGAGAAATGAACAATGGAAATGGAACAATTTTTATCTTGATTCCAGTTCCTCGTAATCATTCGAGAATGACTCGAGACGTGCATGGTTTTTTTTATTACACACACACACACATATATATATGTAACTGGTAACATCAAATGGAATTTAATGAACTTAATTAAAAAATTACTATCAGGAATTCTAAGCAATATAACAAATAAATAATAATACAGATAATGCGAAGAGATTAGAAAGTAGCAAATGAATAGAGTTAGCATAATACCAATATGATAAATGAACATAGAGTAATGAAAGTGATTGAGGTATGTGTACATGCATTATATATGTATATACACAATACACCTATTGTGTATCTGTGTATGTGGAGAGAGTGAGAGACTGCGGTTCCGTGTTCATTAATTGCCGTTCAATTATAGGCTGATTGATTGAATTATGCGTAACCCAAAATGTAATGTCTAAAGGTATTTTGTGATTCTTTACTATAGTAATTTACTGTTACAATCTTTTTAATCGATTGTACCAAAAACAAAAAAAAATCCTTAAATCTGTTATTTTTGAACAATGTGACATTATTTATCGATCTACCTTGTGCGATTTCTTTCAGCGAACGTCTCATTTTCATCACGTCTAAAAAGGAACTCTTTGATTATGGTCACTTTATACGTTGTCCAGAAGTATATATTTGTTTTTTTTTTTTTTTTTAACAAGTGTCTATTTAAATTGAAAATATTATAAATCACAAAAATGATAAACAACGTATAATAACAAATCGTTCGTTAGTACGTTTGATCAATTTTATTAAAAACACTCACTCTTTCGTACGAAGTTGTTTAGTTCTAAACACTTTTTCAACAACTTGTCCTCTTCTTAACATAATTATCATCGAGCATTTGAAAAATTGACACAAATTTTTGTTTCAAAATCACTAGGCCTAGTCGTCATTCACATAGCGCATTCAAAGACGATCGATCGTCTGTGGTCCGCATTATATATAGAGAAAACACTTCGACGAACGAAAGATTAAAGTTGGATAAAAAGGAAACTTAATTTCACTCTGCAAGTTTTTTCATATAATAATTATTAATTTAAAATTAAATGTGAAGAATGAAGAGAAAATATATATGTATTATATAAGAAAAAGAAAGAAAAAAGAAATGAAGAAAAATAAAGAAGGAAAAAGTATTTAAAAAAAAAAAAAAAAAAAGAGAGAAAAAATAGAACCCCGTGAAAATTGCGGTATAATCTTTCAACGCGTTTTAATCTTGACGGTTTCAGATAAAATTATATTGAAATAATCTCTCCACTAAGAGTTTCACCAATTTTCACTGGAGAATAACGTTTCCTCGTTCGTATATTTCCCAGAAAGCTCGCATAGAGAACATTGTTATCGTAATCCGTATCACTTGCTCGTATTGCATATATTCATACACGTATTGTCCATTCTAACACTATATATTTATAGACCTTTGTATATTTGATCGAATACGTAAATATAAATAATTAATATTAAGAGAAAATTATTGCTAGTTTTCACTGAATACTTCGATCAAGTTTAAAAATAATTTAATGATATTTTTTATTCAAAAATTTGGGATAAGGAAGTAATGTCCTAGTTGATGGATTCATAATTTATAATAATAATAATAAAATAAAAAAGTAAAAACCGTAACCAAACGAAATGAAATAATTATAAATTTCTATTAATTGATTTGATTAATCTAAAATAAATCCAAATCTAAATGTTAATGTAAATGGGATGATTTGAAGTAAACAATTGACTTTGAATATTGGATAAGATAAGAAATAGGGGATTAAATTATTTGAAGGTTTCAAAGGGATATTTTAATAGGGCACACATTATATCTATCTATCGAAGGTTATGACACGCGAGTAAGAGAACCTTGGAGTTTTTGGTACGCGCGGTCCGTTGATCGCGAAAGACGCGCGGGCACTGACTCCGGCAGGACTTGCCGCCACCCCCGGACGAGTGCGCGGACCGAACGGTGGAGGGTGGCTGCCTGGCTTACAACGGGGTTCGTCCACGGGGGATGACTGTTGAGCTCAACTCATAGAGAGGAAGAGAGAGAGAGAGAGGGAAAGAGAACGACTACGACTACGACGGCGACGACGACGACGACGACGATGACGACGACGACGACGACGACGACGACGACAACGGCGACGACTACGACGACGCCTAAGGCCGATAGCAAACGAGTAAGAGAGAGATGAACGACGAATAGAGGGGTTGAAACCCAAAAGGAACGAGAGTAGTGGATAGATGCCTGAGGGTGGGAAGCAAGCCACACGCAACTTGCGCGCCCTCTCCGTATCATTTCTATCTCTCTCTCTCTCTCTCTTTCTCTATCTAACTATCTATGTATGTATCTATCTATCTATCTATGTATGTATCTATCTATCTATCTATCTATCTATCTATCTATCTATCTATCTATCTATCTATCTATCTATCTATCTANTCTATGTATGTATCTATCTATCTATCTATCTATCTATCTATCTATCTATCTATCTATCTATCTATCTATCTATCTATCTATCTACCTCTTCATCCCTCTTTCTCTCTCTTTCTCTTTCTCGTCTTTTAAAGAAGGACCAAAGTCAAGATCTCTGCGAGTTGGTCGACTCGAACGACCCTGACCATCGCACCAAATCGAGTACTTCGTTAAATGTTTTATCACAAATTTTTTTCTCTCTCACTCTTTTCTGTTCTTTCATTCCTCATCCTTACTACCCTTAGGTTTTTTTTTTTTTTTATTTAAAAAGACTTCAAAAACTTTAGTTAAGTAGCAGTAGGAAGTAAAGTAAAGTGCAATACGATTGATACTACATTAAACTTTTATTATAAATTCTTTTAGATTAATGTTTCGAATCAACGTAAAAGTAGAATATAATTCGCATTGGAAAATATAGTAGGAGGCGACGAAATTAAGTGAAACGTTAAGGGTTGTTCAGCGAACAACTCGAGGGTACGAGCCGTAACCACGAAGCCAGGCAAGAGTGAGATGGAGAGGGGTGGAAAAGAAAGAGACGGAAAGAGAAACTAGAGGGGCGTAGAAAGCGAGGCAACGATGAAGAGGGTTTATACGAGTGGTTTAGTCAGACAAAGAGAACAAATATATAGAATAAAAGAGTAAGAGAAAGAGAAAGAGAAAGAGATAGAGAGAGAAGGATAGTACGCGCGCACGCCTAAGTCGTCGCCTCCTTCCGACACCCCTGGAGAACCGAAGATACCATACCGAGAACCAAAGTCGTTTTATCTGGGTTAGTGAACGTCGACCCTGACCACCTCCTACGTAAAGAGGATTGAAATAAACTCACATTTATCAAGCGTTCCATTCTTACGTAAGCGTATCTACTTTTCACTGCTATCGAATAGTAGTAGTAGTAGTAGTAGTAGTAGTAGTAGTAGTAGTTGTTGTAATACAACTAAAAACTTTGTCGAAAGATATAATACTTTGTTGGTTTTACGCACGGTTTATACACTTTTGTATAATCATTTTTTTTTTTCCTAAGTAAATGTGATAACAATTGGGTGTTGATTGGATGTTAATTATTATTTAGAATTGGTATTATCGAGTTTTTACTCGTTAAACACTTTTTTCGCGTTTTTTTCGGAATAACATTTACTATCGTGATTGAACTTTATGATTTGGAAATATGATTTATTGTCACAATAATAAACCAACCGTTCTCGTTTTCTTTTCAATTTCAGAAAATCTTTATATTCTTCGTTCGAAGAACGAGTGGTATGGGTGGTGGTGGTGGTGGTGGTGGGTTGATGCTGATGGCAAACGGCTGTTGTTTTCCGACTGACGAGTGAAATTGAATGAAAACGGTTGAGTCGGCTAAGAGCTAATGGCCGAGCATATTTCTCTTCTCTCTTTTCTTTTTCTTCATTTATTCATTCATTCATTCATTCATCGCGCTAAATCGGAACAAAGAAGAACTTTTAATGAGTTTCTATCGTTCCTAATTCTAGCGACTTTCAGCCCTCCAGGTTTATCTTCGAAGCCTCGTAATATCGAGGATTGGGAGAGGGAAGTGGGAAGAGCCTTTGCTCAAAGCTTTTTTTATCTGCCATATTTTTTTTATTTTTTTATTTGTCATTTTTAAATGCGACAATTTGCGAATTGTTAAAAATAACTCTTTATCGTTTAATTTTGACGAGTAAATAACTCATACCGGAAAAGTGGTGATTATTAAAGGATAGAATTTAATTATCGCAAATGAATTGTACACGAATTTTTTCAACGAGTCGTAATTTTGTGCAAATAATAATTACAATTGTTTTAACGTAAATAAGTAAGTAAGAAAGTAAAGTACGTAGCCATCGTACAAGATGTCTATTCGATGCGACGTCTTCAGGAAGGACAAGAAGACGTCTTGGCAGAAGTCCAGGAAAACTGCTGACAAGCTCTTCCGCAAAGATGTAGCTCGGTTTGCATGACACGCTCGACTAACGGGCTAGCAAATTCTCATTGCAGCATGTGTGCAAGAAAGGAAGATATTACTCATCGTTGAGCGTAACCTAAGGACATTATCGATAAGGACACCATTTTCTTGACAGTCCAACTATGTGTCCGTTGAATTTCATCGATGGAGAGTTAAAATTAAGTTTGCTTTTCGATTAGAGGAAGAAAGTGAAAAAATAATTTATTAAAAATAAAAAAATAAAAAAAAAGAAATGGAGAAAAAAATATATAATAAAAAATATTGTAAAAGGAATAAGCAAGTAGTATGGCATGTCGAAATGATAATTTTAACGATAAAACGTAAGTGGTAGGAAATAATAGAAAATTAAATCGAACATTTTCTCGCTTTATGATGTTTTACGTTATCGAGAAAGTAATTTTTCATAATTTATGAGTCGCAATATTCGCTTGGGCTCGTTAAAGGGATGAGGAGGTAAAATTGGACACGTTTTTAGTGAATATTCAAAAATCCAGGGAGAAGCTCGAACAATGAACGAGAGGAGACACTATAAAAGCATTTAATTTCATTATACGTATTTGCAGTACGTGAGGGTCCAGGAGTTTTTATTATTTACCGATTCAACTTGTACCGTACCAATGTCGTTGTTAGCACGATCGCAAAAAAACTATATAGATATATATATATGTATATGCGAGTGCACTCTGATTAAATAGCAAATAATATCACGCCCTTCCGGATTACAAATTCCCTTTCGAGTGTTTCGTACGAAGTTTTCTCGTGATTTATATGATACGAATAATCGAAGAAATAAAATGAAACTTTCGTCCTGTAAATCTGTACGGCTAACGTAATATTTCTATAAAAAAAAAAAAAAAAATATTCACGCGATGGATAGAACAGAGAAGAAATTTTTTGGCGTTGAACAAAATTTACCTACACAACAAAACTTTCCCGATACTTATTAAATATCTTTCTAAGAATGATAATATTTGATTGTTCTATTCTTTTGGGTGAACAAACAATAAGAGAACAACGGAAAATATCATTTCTCTTTTAATGGTGAGAAGAATAAAAAAAAAAAAAAACAGAATAAAATTAAAAAAAAAAAAAAAAAACAACCAAGAACAAGATGTAGGTCGTTGTAACGACCACGTCGACCTGGATTATTATTTTCTAGAAAAAAAAAAAAAAACAAACAAAAGAGAAAAGAAAAAACGCGCAATGCGTTAATCGTTTGCTCGAAACGATCAAAAAAAAAAAAAAAAAAAAAAACTGAGAGAGAAACGCACTTTTCACTTTATCTCTTTTACTTTTCCCCGCCCCTTTTTTTTCAAACTTTCTTTAGCCCTTTTTTTTTACTCCCCCAGCCACGTATCTTTTTTTCACTACGCACATTTTTGTTGTTCATCTTTTTTTTTTTCCCATCGAAACGTTTTCGAAGGAGTTCAGCTCGATGTTGAATCAAACGGGACGCGTTGCCCGAAGGTACGAAATATCTCGTATCCAAGCTCGCATCCTATCCCTTTGGATTATTTTCATTCCTCGTTTCCCTTCGCTCGCCACACCACCACCACCACCCCTATCGCACGTCATCGTTCCCTCCTGACGCGCGCATCGTTTCTTTCTCTTCCTATATTTTTTTTCTCACTTTTTTTTATTTTTTTTTTTTTTATTTTCTGTCTCTATCTCGTTTTTTTCCCCTTGTTTTCCTTTTTTTTTTTTTTTCGTCGCAATCAGACTGTTCCAGTTTCGACAGAAAGCTTTATGATCCTATCTCCTCTCCCTTTCTTTCTTTCTTCTTTGTTTTTTTTTTTTTTTTTTTTATCTTCTTTTCCTTCTCTCTACTTTACGCTTACGATCAGCCGACATTACGCGAGAACTATACTGTGAATAGGATGTTCCTGTCGAACGGGTATCTTCTTATTTTTCCCCTTGAAATGTATACACCAACCACCACCACCACCACCACCACGACTACCACCATTACTACGAGAATGATGCAAGCTTTGAAATTGTATTTCTTTTTTCTCTCTCTCTCTCTCTCTCTCTCTCTCTCTCTCTCTCTCTCTCTCTCTCTCTATCTATTTCCCTATATTTTGTTGTTCTTGCTTTCATTTTATTTCCATTTTGAAATATGATATGAAAGGAACGCGAATAGGATTGATTTCATTTGATGTAATATATTTTTGTGAGAAGGGTTTGTTATAAAATTTGGTCAGTTAGTTTTCCTCGCGTGGATGTTCGTCAATCCTTGTCACGTAGTTTACGCGCAAAATAAGTTCGGAAGGGAATTCAAACGACTCACTTGCTTCGAGTGAGCTGTTCGGTTCAGATCGATATTTGAAAGCATTGTTCATAAAACTGTCTGTCGCGTTTATATCGATTGCCAGGACCTTGGATCGTAGCCAAATTGTCCGCTACTCTCTCTCTCTCTCTCTCTCTCTCTCTTTCTTTTTCTACCTTTTTTCGTTTAGTTCTTCTTGCCGACTAGGAGAATTCATCCTTGACTGGATATATCTCCTTTCTCCCTCGTTCTTTCATTTTTTTTCTT